ATGTTTAATTTTTTTAACAACTAAATCATTGCATTAATAATTGTTCGTTAATACAATAAATATAATGTACCAAAAACATTATAAAAAATAAAAGGCCAATTATAACGAAATTAAGCCAAATGCTGATTCTCAGTGACCAAAAAACTAAATAAAATCTAAGTCGTCAGTGCGCCATGACTTTTTTTTAATAAATAGTTACAAGGAACACAACGATATGCAATTTATAGAGATGTGAGGGAGGGTGCACGGTAGGGGGGGTCTGGCCCACAAACTACTGGAGGTCAATTTAAGAAGTTATGAAAAGGCCAATCCAAAAATTCTAGAAAATTTTCTATCTGTTTATTTATTTATTTTTTGTTTTAAATATATCATCAAAGAATAGACCATCAAGCACCAAACCGAAAATGTTTAAGAGTTTATCCACATATCACTTACTTACTCCTTTATTCAACATCGTTTAAAAATTCTTCTTCTTTGTCTTCCTCTTATGCCATTAATTAGCGTCGAGGAGCCTCAACCAGTGCAGCCACTCTTCCCGGTCCGTGCTTAATCGCTTCATCTCATTAAGGGTTTTGCCTCTTTTACATCCAATCCTTTGAATGTAATCCTGGAACGTGAGTCTGGGGCGTCCGCGTGGTCTCCTTCCTGTGGGTCGAGCCTCTAATATCCTTATTGGATTCAAATTCTCATTCATGCGGCAGACGTGTCCAAACCACTGGAGTTGCCGTCTTTCTAGAGTAGTTTTAAGTTCGGCAACTCCTAGCTGCTCTCTAATGCTTTCATTCCTAATGCGATCCCTTCTAGTTCTGCCAACAGATCTGCGAAGGAACCTCATTTCTGCTGCCGTTATGCGACTAGAGTGCCTGTCTAGCATTGTCCAGCTTTCTCCGCCGTAGGTGAGTGTAGGTAGGTAAACAGACTTATATACGTGCATTTTGGTCTTCTTGTCTACTTCGCGATGGCCGATAATGCTATTAGTAGTCTGGTAATACACCTGATTCGCCTTACATATTCTACTTGATATTTCGGCGTCTATCTTACCAGAACTACTAATTACGGTCCCCAGGTCTCGCCATTGCAGATCAGCTGGACATCTTCTCGCTCTTCCCTCGTCATAACCAGCACTTTACTCTTGGAGGTGTTAATTTGCATCCCTTTCCTGAGCAACTCTTCCTCCCACTCTACCAAGGCTTGTTGTAGTTTGGTCTTTGTGTCGGCTATTAGGACTATGTCATCCGCGTATAGAAGGCTTTGTATGAGGACAGTTCTCAAATTCCACTTCCCAATTGTTGTCCACGCAGTTCGGCGTTTACAGATTTTGTGGATTTCATCCATTACATTTATAAATAGAAGGGGACTTAAGCTATCTCCCTGTCTAACTCCTCTCGCAATTGGAAAAGGTTCCGATTCCATACCGTTCATCCTTACCACTGCCATGGCTCCTTGATAGGCTGACTGTATGGCCGCCAGCAAGTCTCCAGGTACACCCTTGGCTATTAGGGCATTCCAAATTTCTTTTCTTGGAACCACATCAAACGCTGACTTCAGATCAAGGAACGCAAGATACAGATTTTTATCTCTGTCCCAAGCTTTTTCAGCAATATTTCTGAGAACAAAGATGTGATCCTGCGTCTGTCGGCCTGGACGAAAACCAGCCTGTTCCGCTTCTAACTGCCCTTCCACAATCCGTCGGAGTCTCCTTTCTAGTATAGAAGTATAAAGTTTATAGACCACTGATAGCAGACTAATGGGTCTATAATTTTTGCAATCTGTCGTGCATCCTTTTTTATAAATCGGGAGGATTATGCAATATTCCCAGTCCATGGGAATTTTCTTTCTGTCATATACTTCTTGGAACAGCGATTGTAGTGCTTTAAGAAGTTCTTGACCACCGAATTTTAAATATTCTGGTGCGATTCCATCCCTTCCTGATGCCTTACCTCTTTTTAGCTTATGGATTGCATTTTCTATTTCTTCTTCCTCTATAACCTCCAGGCTTTCTTGAATATTGGGCTCTTGTTCTTGATAATGGTCTGTTTCTGGATTTTCGGAGAATTGTTCCTGGAAATATTCCTTCCATCTGCTAAGGATCTTTTCCTTGTCTGTAAGTAGGATTCCATTGCTACTTTTTACATTTCTAATAGGCTTGCATTGTTTTCCTCTTAACATCTTAACTTTTCGCCAAAATGTTCTTATAGATTCGCGATGATCCTCGCTCAGCCTTTTACCAAACTCCTCCCACGACTTCTTCTTCGCCTGGCGTATGGCTACCTTACATTCATTCCTGGCTATTCGATATAAGTGTAGCTTTCCTTCAGTTCTATCCATAAGGTATGCTTTCCAGGCAAGCTTCTTCCGAGAAACCAGTCGTTGGAGATCATTGGACCACCAGTCTGTCCGCTTTCCCTTGCCAGACACTCTCTTCTTCCCACAAACTGTATTTGCTGTTTCCAGAATACATATTTTCAGTGCCTTCCATATCTCTTCCACATCTCCATCGAATGACGTTTCCCTTAATTTATTTTCCAGGCTTTCTGTAAAGAGGGCCCTTTTCTCTGGGTCATCCAAGGCTCTTACGTTGAGGGTTTCAAATACTTTTGTTTTCCTTTTATACTCCGGGATGATCTTTGTATCAGCCACAAGTAAAAGGTGGTCGCTGCTTATCTCCGCTCCTCTTACTACTTTTATGTCAGCGAAATACTGCCTTATGTTCCTATCATATATGAAATAGTCAATTATACTATTTCGTTCCATGCATGAGAAAGTGATTTTGTGGATTCTCTTGTGTGGATAGAAAGAATTTCCTATGAGGAAGTCATTATGCACGCAAAAGTCTATTAGCCGTTGTCCATTAGTATTCCTCACATTCTCACCTCCATGCAGCCCCAAAACTCCATATCCAGATCTTTCATCATTTCCTGTTCTGGCATTGAAGTCCCCACTCAGGATTACTGACCTTCCTTTTCCTTTAGCTTTATCTACTATTTTTTGCAAATCCGAGTAAAATGCATCCTTGTCTGCAACACTAGCATCTTCCGTTGGTGCATACACCTGGATTATGGAAATCTTACCTATGGTCATCTTAAAATCTGCTACAATCATTCTTGGAGATATCGGCTCCCAGTCCTCTAAATGATCATACATATTAGGCGACATTACTAGACCCACTCCCTCTTTGGCGAAAACCCCTCTAGGTACTCCAGCATAAATTAGGGAGTAATTATTAGCCAATTTCATTTCTCCACTGCCTTTTTCTTCACTTCACTTATGCCGAGGATTTCTACTTTGTAGGTCCTCATTTCCTCCACCAGCTCGACCTCCTTCCCAGTTAAAGTTTTTATGTTCCACGTTCGTTTAAAAATTAATTTTCGTTATTTTTATTTATTTAGTTCTTAATTTTATTATGTCTAGCTAAACCCATTTTCAGAATGACTTGAAAGAGTATTCACACAAGATCTCTACCTTTAATCTAATATTTAGTTACTAGATATTAGAAGTGTTGTTTTTCATTATAAACTATTTTTTATAAAGTTAAAAACAGAAAAAAAAATTCATGTATTAGCTAAAATGGTCTGCAGCATTATAAATGAAAAGTTTAAACTATAGCTTGATATTATTTTTTTTTTAATTTTATATTTACAAAAAATATTTTGTATTTTAAATTAAAATCACCTAAAATATAAACTTAAAATAATGATAGGTGTTTTTTGAAATATGTTTTTGAAAGGAGTGAGAATTATGAATATATGAGTGATGATGAAAATACATATTAGGTTAGAATAAGATAACTATTGATTTAACTTAATTATTTTATTGAAAGATCTTATTTAATAAATGGGTGGTTAGCAGTATTTTATATTATCATTGATGATGTAATTTCTATTTCACTTTACATTCTAGCCAAGGTAATATTGGTAATTATAATAACAAAGAAAAGCATTCACCAAAAAATTAAATAAATTTTAGATATAAATGTTTATTGTTTTATTTTCATTTATTTTTTAATGAATAAAGTTAAATTGGAATTTTTTTGGTTATAATAAATATTATATACGGTAATCCCTTTACATTTGTTTGGCTTGTGCACCAGGAAAATGGCTTGAGTTTTTAATTCATAAATTCATTAGGAATTCGTGAATGGTGGGTGTATTTTTCTGTGAAAATATGGAGTTTACTTTGTGTGAAGTCTACGCAGACTTGTTTTTATTGTTTTCAATTACTGTACTATTCATAATTTACATATAAATGTAAACTTTTGTAAATTTAAATTATTTTTTTCCATATATCATTATTTGATTGATTATGTTTGAGTCTTTTAAAGTTAAGTGTATGGGATCATCACAACCTTGATTTCTATCTTAAACTTCAAATGGGTAAGGGCTTATTATACAGCTTTTTGAACAAGTTGTTGTTAAGAGGTCGGAAGGAGATGTTAAAAATTGTTAGTATGTATAGGTCATCATTTCATGTAATTAAATGTGTCTAGTTAGGAATAAAGTTTGTAGCTATTCTCTGTAAGAAAGAATTGCCACTTCAAACATTTTAATGTTTCTACTTTTTTAAACCTCACTCATATACTTATATTTGTTATTAAATTAATTTTGTTCAGAACAACAAAACATTCCAGTTTTATTTACTATAAACAAATAAGAAATGTAATTTATCCAATAAATTTTCGTTTCATAATTTTACAGGTGAAAACAGACCTTTGACATTTGTATGCATGTTCAGTATGTACATACATACTGTTCTTGGAGTGGTTTAAGCTATGACTTTGTTTTTATTCACAAATAGTTAAATATCCTATTCGTAAATGTGAAATTCTTACACATTTTTGTATTTGTCCATAATCAAAATTCACAAATATCAATCTCAGAAATAGTGAAGGATTGCTGTGGAACAATTTTGTACATTTTTGTTCTATCAATAATATACAGATGTTAATCTATTTTACATAAACATATATTTCTGTTTTGTTACTTTTTATTTTTATTTTTCAGACATAACCTTGCTGCTCCTTCACTTATTCCATTAGGTAAGTAAATTATATCTATATCTTATAAAAGGTATTTATATTTCTCCATGTTTAATGGAATAATTAATTAGTGGTGGACTATAAAAATTTGTCCGATTTTTTACTTCCCCGCTATTAAGTTAGTTTTAAACTATACAGAGTGTCCCGTAAGTACATGGAAATATTTAAAGGAGTGATAGCAGACCTCAAGAGCTACAAACAAGTTCATATACCTTGACCTCAAATCTGCCTTTGACTCGGTTCCACGAGATGAAATATGAGAAGCTCTCAGATCGAAAAACGTTCCGAGAAATCTGACAGAGGCGATCAAATCTATATATTAAGAGCCCAAAGGAATAGTCAGGCTGAACGGGCTAGAATCAGGTTGTTTTAATATTGTAAAGGGAGTGAAATAAGGAGACAGCCTAAGCCCATTGTTCTTGTTGTTCATGGATGAAGAGGCATCCATTTGTAAGAGAAGAACGGACAGGACATTCCTGGGACGTAGGAATCTTAATCCTGTAGTGATACAGCTTCTCCTCTATGCCGACAACGTGGTATTGATTACGGACTCAGTGGAAAAGTTGCAATTGGCAGTATGGAATGGTATGAAGAGCTCCAGCGAAAAGGGATACTTATAAATACCAACAAATGTAAGATCCTACAAGTCGGAAGAAAGAAGGAAGATATCCACATATGCTGTAATGGAGAAGAATTAGAAGTGGTGACAGACTTTGCATACCTGGGTACAGTGATAAACAGATCTGGGAAGGTAGACACAGAAATATCAAACAGGATTAATAAGGCAAATACAGTTTACTACCAGGTATATAACACTGTAGTAGGGAAGAGAGAAGTAGGCAAAGATGTCAAGCTGCACATCTTCAAGACTGTATATCTACCCATACTTTTGTATGGAGCGGAGAGTTGGATATTAACAGACTGACAGTAGAGCTAAATCACCGCTGCCGAAATGAAATTTCTGTGAAGGACGGTTGGGAAAACAAGGAGAGACCGAGTTCGCAATGAAAGTTTTTTTCAGGAACTGCAGATAGCCCCACTGAAAGAGCTCCTAGAAACTTGTCAGCTAAAGTGGTTCGGCCATGTTATCAGGATGGACGACCACAGAGATCCTCTAAAGACCATGTAATATATCCCAGATGGCAGAAGAGCTAGGGGCCCGCCCTAGAATGTCCTATCTTGACTACATTGAGTGACTCTGTAGGGCGAGGGAGAAGGACCTCCGACAGGCGAGGAACCTAGCTGGAAATAGGGAAGGATTGAATTCCTGGCTGAATGCTCCTCTATGCTGAGAGAAGAAGAAGTTTTTAGAAAGTGATAACAAAAAAAAAATATTTAACTTAAGTAATTAACAATGGCTTGACAGTAAACTAGAAAAAATTTAGATCAAATAAAAGTAGAGTTTGTCATTGTTAAAATCATTTTTAAAGTACTTTTTAGGGGATAAACTGAGTTTTTTTTTAATTATGAATTATTTACAAACTTTTTTATCACCTTCCAACTATACTGCAGATAATCCAGTTTTAGAAAAACTTCCTTGTTTAATTAGCTTTAATTCCATATTAAATTAAGTTGAGGTTTATAATGAAGCAAGTTCAGACTTACCTCAAGTTGTGTAAAAAAATCAAATTATTTAATATACCAGTCACCTAAAAGTTTCCTCCAAAACTTAAATTTCCTACTTTAATGCGGATAATTGGACTATCGTTTATATGAACTTTTTTGTAGTTCTTGATGTCCTCTGGTGTTAGACAACCTTTGATAATTTCCAGTTGATGTTAAATATCATTGTTAGTTACCATTGATCAGTGTTAGTGGTTTCGAAAACAATCTGATACTATATACTAAGTCACATTAGGTTTTACCCTAATCCTCAACATGCTCTTTTCTGCATCACTTGAAGTGTAAACTTGCTTTTGTTATTGTTTTGTTAAGTGTTACTTGTAGGGTCAGAATGAGATACATATGGGAATGGTTCTCTTTGATTTAAACATGATGATTTATGTGCTACAACTGCTGTTCACCAGATCCCTATCGCAATGGCAATTTCTCTACAAACAAGCATACTAAAAGTCATTGGTGTGCTCAAACAGTATGTAGATGTCTTCAATGTTCTTGGCTAAGGTCTGAAAGTGCAAAAAAAATGTTTGAATTTGAGCTTGGTGCCCAAGCAACCCTAACTTGGGGATGCCCGAAATCATGTTGATTAGATGATTGAAAAATGGAAGGAATGATTGTTATCAGACAAAACCAGAATAATTTTACTCTAATGATGGCCAAGGTAGGCCTTGGAGTCATAGTAAAGGATTATTTTAATTAAACATCTAGTATGGCTGATTGTTCTACCCTTCATTCAATAAATTGGTGAAAATTTTGTTTATATGCGTGTCCTCTTTGGGGTCCAAAGGTAAATTTATTTTTACTAACAATGACATTCACGATACTCTGTCCCCAGACTTATATCCTAGTTCACATGTGGTATTTCCCAACAAGACTTTTTAGAGCTCAGGAAATTAACTTTCAACAGCTACAGCAAGCCATTATCAAGGAAAGGGTAACATGCCTAATGACAACATTCCCAATGTTATTGAGAGCAATCCAAGGAGAGTTGAAGCTGTTATTCAGGTATAGGTCCTGCACAATATTAATGAGCTCACTGTGTTGGAATCCAACGACTGACTTTGTATAAATAATTCAAAAATTGATTGAATTCTCACCACTACTTCCTCTTGCATATGTACTAAGGTATTTTCTTAAGTACAGTTATATTTAAAAAACTATTTGTTTGATAGGAGCCTTAGATGGAAGAATGTTAGAGATTTAAAAAAAAATTAATTTAGTCATTTCCACCTATTAATTTTGCTCTTGGAAGATTTTTCACTGATACGCCTTCTTCTTTTTTTTTTTTTTTTATGGCACTACGGTCCTTGCAGAACACTGGCCTCCTCCACAATTCTCCGCCATTCGTCTCTGTCCAAAGCCGGTCTTCTCCACCTCTGGACTCCAAGTGTCCTCAGGTCCTCCTCCACCTTGTATAGATCACGGAGCTTCTGATTGTTCCTCTGCCTCCACTGATCTCCCTCCCTCAAGAGGCCAAAAATCCTTCTCAGGATTTACCTCTACCACACGTTCAGTACTTGCTCTGACTTCCTGGTGAGGACCAATGTCTCACTTCCATATGTCACCACTGGTCTGATAACGCTGACATATACGACCTTCTTTAACTGTCATGGCAACACCTTTGACCTAAGTACTTTTCCAAGCTCCCAGCAACATCTATTTCCTGCCATCATGTGTGACTTTATTTCTCCCTGTATGTCATTCTTTTCGTTTACATTGGCCCCAAGATATTTAAACTCTTGTACCTGCTTGAAAAAGTATGAACTCCAGTACTAAGACCATTCCTTGCCCCACAATCACCCCGGGAGGTCTTCATATATTTAGTTTTGGTTTCATTAATGTTGAGTTCTGCTATTTTTGAGGCCTGTTCACATTCTGCGGAAGCTCCTGTTAAGGATGCACATGTACGACCAGTAATGATGTCATCCGCAAAAGCAAGATACTGTGTCAGTCGATTATAGACTTTTGGTGGTATTCATAGATGTCCCTTCAACCTCCCTTCTACAATAGGGAGACATTTGGTAGAGATAAAGGTCCCTTCGTTATTCCCAAAACTCCCCTTTACACTTACTACAATTTCTATTTAACTGATATAAAATGTTGTTATTGTGTTAATATTATTATTTTTTCTATTATTAATTATACTTATAAAATTTCTTGGTTCGAACTATTTCCCTAATATTTAAGAGGCCAAAAGCTAAAAAAAGAAATTTCATTAAGAACATTCTTTTCTCCACTCCACTCGAAGAAAAGTCAGTACAAGGAGGTTTGCGACACTGTTAACGTACAATAACTTATTTTATAATTATCGATGGGTCTCTCAATAAATATTTAGTGCAGAGAAAATACATTTCCTCACTTCAATAGTTTTAGAAAAAGTTCCAGTATTTTTGGAATACCAGAAAACTCTTGGAAATAATTAAGTTTGCTGTAATATCCTTATCAAATGTATCTATGTTCTCATATATATTGATTTGTTATTGTTCATATGTCAAAAATGCAAGTATTAGTTACTATTTTACTGATTTCTATTATATAATTAATCAGAAGAAAAACTTAGTAACAATACAGTAATACCATTCACTATAAATAAAATGAAAGTTGAGAAACTGCAAATTAAAATATAACCAATTATATAGACATAATTACCATTATACTGGTTGTCTTTAAAAATAAATTATCCAATAATTAATTTTTGCCCTAAATAGGACTTCAAAAATAAGTTTTATGAGATCAAGCAAAACAAACCTTCAAGCAATTTCATTTGGAATAATATTGCTTGGTAATATGGAAATGTATTATTGCTTTGCTTTACAAAACATATTTTTTGTCCCTTTTATTATTTGTACATGTAAATACTTGTAAAATTGAATATTTGTATTCTCTAATATTTAGTAAAGTAAAAAATGTCTATATGCCTTTACTGAGAAATCAAGATGTATTTTTTTTTAATATTGTAATAGTATGTCATATGTTAATGTCAGACCCCACTTTGGGGGTCTATTTTCTATAATAATCAATTTCACTTCATTTTTTTTTTAAATATTTCTAAGCATCCAACAGCGAATACGAAGGGTCAAAACTTTTATGTTCTTAGTTACTTTTTTGTAATAAAGTTATTGATTTATGGTAAAAGTGTAACTTTCATTGATTATTTCAAAAGGTTTTGTTATATGAGAAATAAATGGTAATTTGGTTTATATTACATATATATATATATATATATATATATATATATATATATATATATATATATATATATATATACATATAAATGATATTATGCAAATTGATAAGGTTTCTGTCAAAAAAAAAAATATATATAACTTAAGGTAAGATTATAATCGGATAATAGGTCATGAAATACACTTGAATGAGCT